CGGGCACCGCGTCGAGTGTGTTCGTCCGCGAGAACTTGACGGTGCGGTCGGTGTTCGTTGTGCCTGCCGGTGCGAGCGAGGTGACGCTGCGCCACGTTGTGCTGGACGGCGTGAGTCCTGTGCTGTACGTGCCGTGGATGGCGCGAGACGGCGTGCGGATCGTTGTGCAGAACGTGTCGCTGCGTAACGGCGCCGTGCTGTACGTGATGGGCGGTGGAGCGTTGCGCGGTGCGGTGGCTGCGGGAAGCAACGAGAGCGGACCGGTGGAGCTCTCCGTGTGCGATGTGGAGGCGCTGAACGGTGCGCTTGTGCTGACCGGCACGTATCCCGCGGGGTCCGCGTTGACGGTGACGGACACCCTGCTGGTTTCCGCGAGGCCGACGCCGCTTGTGTATCTTTCCGGCTCGCAGTCCTCGCCGTACGCACCGGTGCTGGTGCTGTCGGGTCTGCGGCTTGTGCGGTCCGTGCTGGTTGTGTCCGGCGTGGCCCTCGTGACGGTGATGACTGGTGGGCGGACGGTGGTGGTGGACGGCGCGGTGCTGGAGCTCGTCGGTGGCGGTGTCGCGCTGGACGCGGCTGTGTTCGGTGGCGAATATGCGTTGTACGCGAGTGCGCGCGTGGTTGCGTCGGAGGGCGCTGTGCTGCGCGTGTCGGGGAGCCAGGTGTACGCTGCGCATGGATTGGTGTTCAACAGCGGTGTGGAGGCCAACACGTCCGCCGTCGTAGTGAATGACAACGCCGGTGCGCTGACGGATGGCGCGCTGCTGGTGCTACGGGAGACGGCGTCGTTTGTGTCCGGGTCGTGGCTGTCGGTGCGCGGCAACAGCATCAGCGGCAGGCTCCTGTCGGTGCCTCCGTACCCGCACCGTGCGGAGCTTGTGCAGAGCACGCTGACGCTTCACAAGAACGCTGGCAGCGGGCCCGTCGTGATGGACGGCACCGTTGAGCTCGGGGGTGCCGGCCGAGAGTTCGTCGTGGGGTGCCTGACGCTCAACGGGCAGGCGCTGCAGCCGATCGACTACAGGTCCGCCGGCATCATCGGGAAAGTTCGCCCCGTGGCGTGCAGCGTGTGCGACGCCGACGTGAGCTGCTTTGCTGCTGCGACGAGGGCGATGTCGGGGTCGTGCCGCTGCCGCTGTGGTGAGGGCGGGTACGGGCGCGACTGCCTGCCTGTGTACCTGCCGCACGTGGACGGGTGCAACCGCACGCCCGAGAAACCGCTGCTGAGCCACACGGCGACGCTGACGGCGACGCGCAGCCTGACGCCAACGTGGACGCCAACACCGCCAACAACGAGCCTGAGTGCGACGCGCTACAGTCCGACGAACTACGGACCGACGGAGACGCTGCAGGTGACGGAAACGGTGACGCTGCTGCCCACGCCGACCCCGGCAGCGTCGGTTACGGCGACGGAGCCGCCGACCGCGACAGTGACGGCATCGGATTCACTGAGCATGAGCCTGTCGGTGAGCAGCACGCCGTGGTGGAGCGACGTGGCGTGCCCGACACTCACCGTGACGACGACGGCGGCTGGTGGGAGCCTGACGCAGAACGACATTCGCGGCGGTGGGAGCGCCGTCCCGACGCGGCTGATGGTGGCGCTGCCGCCGCCGTTCCGCTGGGCAAGCGACCCGCAGCTCGGCACGCACCTGAGCTTCGTGCCGGTGGCGACGGCGCAGCCGACCGGCTTTGGTGGGTCGTGGGGAGCGATGC